ATAGTTTAGAACTGGCAGTTTGCAGTGGTCTATCAAAAATAAAGACTTCACTTATTGAGCATAAATTACCCACTGTGGAATATATACAGGCGAGACAAACATTATATTACTAACAATACAGATGATGGCTTCATAATCATGGACTGCTGCATGTTTTCACAAATAAAAAGTGAGTTCTGGCTTTAAAGAATACGCGCCATCATAACTTGCATATATTTGTCCTGCTAAAGAATTCTCACGCTACAGCTGTCCTTCAATAGGCATGTCTAGATGACCTGCATCTTGTGTTCATACACAGGTGTGTTCCACAATGTGTACACCTGCAGCTATTGTTGTTAGAAATGAGCTGTAGCACAATGGGTGTTTAAAAGAACAAACCTCCTTCTTCTCTAAAATTATGCAAAAAGAAAAAAAAACACATAACAATTTATCTTAGGAAATTAAAATAAAACACAAAAACAAAACGGTACTTTAACTTAATATTTAATCCACACCTTTCCAAAGTGACTAAATAATAGCAGGAATCAATATTAAAAAATGTAATTGCACCACGGCTCATCAATTTTTTATCTTGTAAAAAGGTATTCTCAATATTATGCATTACAGCCTAAAAATAGATTAATTGCCCATGCTTTCCTGAAACTCTCCAACTGAGTGATCATGTCAGTCAACAAAATAGTCCTTAAGCACTTTTCTTAATTTGGAGTGAGTGTGTGTTTTCCATGCAATTATCTGAGGTAGTTGAACTTTATTTGTATAAACAAATGTTGCCAGTAGAGACGTAGTTTAATTACTCTGTTGTATCATCTTGCTGACGTAGGTAAGTGATGTAAAGTACCATCTTTGCCCAAATAAACACTGTTATGCATTACCTAGTTTAATGCATGAGTTAACTGTTGGCAAAATATTTTCTGAGTCAGTGAAACTACAGTGACAACGAGATGAGCACATTTTGTTTTGTATGTATCCTCAGGCTGAAGCAAACAATCAAGACCTCACACAGCAGGAGCATTTAATTGTAAGGAAAAAAAAAACACAATAAAATTGCTACCACACATGAGTATAACAAGCAAGCAAAGTTAGACAAGTTTTTAAGGAGCACAGACATCCGCGTTTTAAAAGTTTTAAGAGTGGCAGGGGATTTTTCACATGAAGGTGGATTTAGTGTTAGGACCACCTTGGTATAAAAAAATCTGCTTAATCATATTCCCTTTAACTGAGTCTAAATATCATCCATTCACACTGATTTCAAAATGAAATGGATAAACACACAAAATAAGTGTCACTCAACAACATTCTGTTTCAATTCCAGTACTGCAACAGAATTGTAGTATGAAATTTAGTATACTTTTTAGTGACACAGATGGTAGAATTGTTATGTATTAGTAACTACATTTGTGTTTTAAGTGTGTTCTTTTTGTACTCTCCACGGGGTATTAATGAAAACTACAAAACCTCATTTAATTTTTCATAAACTGTTCTCTGTAGTAACAAAAAAATATATTTAAATCACACAGAAGGCAGAACTGGAAGACAGCAAGGAACAGTAAAATACTGTAAAAACATCCTAGTGTAAGAAAGTTAAAGCTCAGATTTCTAGCCAGCAGATGGAAAATAGTAGCTATAAAACACTTAACATAAGCTCTTTTAAAAATACTTTATTCACTTATTTCTGTGAAAGGTATGAATACCGTTGTCTGTTCTCAATATATGTTTGCTTTCCAGGATATACTTGAAAGTATTAAAGGATTTGTTTCCTTAGAAATGTCAGGACTGAGGAATCTGGCTCTCAAAATCTTTAGCTGAAGGCATTTCTGGCTTTGGAATGAAGCTTGCTGGTTAACAGGCTCTTTGTTTTTGTCCCTTCCTAGGCTACATTTAATCATACTGTGTGTGCTGGGTTTATTACATTATAATATTGCAGTTACACTGTACACAAAAGATCTGTATCAACCAAGAAAATGAAAGTAATATTTGGAGGTAGGATATATTTTACCTCATGGTAAATTATTTAGGGAGCATGCTAATTCAGAACCAATTGTCGTGAAAAAGCCAGAGATTTGAACTAAAATCGAGTTCATGTTTGCTGTTTCATTTGAGATTGTGCACTGCCTTTTCTTTACTTTTCATACCCCAAGTGACCTTTAATAATTCTTACATTTATAATGGGTATTTCTGGACAATCCTCTCAAAGCACTTTATAGGGAACGGGGACTCTCCTCTTCCACCACCAATGTATAGCACCCATCTGGATAATGTGACGGAAGCCACAGTGTGCGAGTATGCTCCCCACACACCAGTGGGGAGGAGAACAGATTAATGAAGCCAATTCAGAGCTAGGGACTGTTAGGGGGCCATGATTGGTAAAAGCCAGTGGGGTATGTTATAGTGGGGTAACATACCTACTCTTTTTGAAAAAATGCCATAGGCTTTTTAATGAGTATAGAGGACCTCAGTTTTACTCTTTATACCTTTTTACAATATAGTATCCATGTAGGATCCACACAGACTGCAGAGTGAGCACTCCCTACTGGTCCCACTAACACCTCTTCCAGCAGCAACCTTACCTTTCCCGGAACGTCTCCCATCCAGGTACGGGCCTGACCTGTGTTGGGATTGAGAAGCAAATTGACTTGAGCCACAGTTGCAGTGCAACCAATTCTGTTCCAAGAAACCTCAACCAGGAATACTACCAATATATGTCATCTACTGCTTTTTTGCATTTGTTTATTTACACGTGCTTGTTTCAAACCTGTGTAAAGATTGAGTCCGTTTTTCTTCTGTTCTTTTTCTGCTCAAGGCAATGGATCAAACACTTTGAGAGATGTCAGTAGACAGCGAGGGTTACAAGGTGCCACAGATATTCATTTAATTAATTAAAAAAAATACTTAAAGTGGGACACCCAAAAACAGAAAAAAAGTTTCAAGTTCACATTCATGCAATTGTTTTACAAGATACATGAATATGAAACGAGTACTTAGTTCTCGTTTGTTAGAATGGGTTGTAAAGATATTAAAGGCAAAATATGCTGTTTCTTTGCTCATTTTCTGCTAGACAAATTTCTTTAAGGAAATCTTTCTGAGATGCTGGAGCCACTCTGTAATAAGAAAAAAACCCACAAAGGTTGCTTACAGGGTGTCGTAAGAATACTGACTAGTTTTTTACCAAGTATAACATCTCAGGTCTGGAAGGCTAATAATCATTTCTGATAGGTTGTTCAAAGGTATACCAACAAAACACCACAGAAATGACCGCTCTCCATACCAGCTGTATGGAGAGCGATGCACTACTGCATATAGACCTCGATACACGAATGTTCCACCCCAGTATTCCAGTGGAAACAAATCACTATACAAGCCCAACATTGTCATGCATTTTTTTTCTGCACGCAGTGATAAAATCATCTGTGGGGCTGCACTTTTACTGGTTACAAAAGTACACAAAGAAATGATCAGATGTTACTAATCAGGGGAGATTTTTTGACATAAGACATATAACACCAGGTCAACTGTAAACAAAAAAATAACAAAAATAAACCAACTGATTTACAGATGTTGGAGAAACATTATATTCAATGTTAGTTCATGAAACAATCATGTGCACTGTAACCAAACAACAACATCCAGTGAGGATGCCCTATAAGGTGTATGTTTTAAACGTTTTAAAAGCGCCTTTTTATAAGGGCCTGTTGGCATGATGTAGACTGAGCTTCATAACTATGTTTCTAAACCTTAAATAACTTTATCTTAGAGGGAAAAGGATGACCCAACAGAATGTGTTACAAATGCATAGTTTAAAATGTGAAAAGATTGGTCGTTGATAATTAAAACACAATACAGTTTTAATACAGTATTTTCTAAAGAGTAAGATTTTTTTAAGAATGCAAAAATGTGGGCATCTAAATCTTTTGTTTTGAGTCTATTAAAACCTAATTTGTTTCATTGTATGTGTGTTTTTCTAATTTACAATAATCTGATAAATTGTTACTCCCCGTTGCCTTAATAACAGGTATGAAAGCTGCGCTGAACATGCACTGTATGAAAGCTGGCTGCCTTATTTGTTGCCGACCATATTCCAAAGTGAAAGAAGAACTTAATTTTGTTGTTTTATTCTGTTTTAAAGAGGTTTGGTTCGCTCAGCACTACTTGTATCACAGAAATGTACTGTTGTCTCATCAGCGTTGCCCAGAATTCTCCTTTATTGCCGAGTCGTGTTCATCGTGAAGATTGATTTCATGTGCGATTGTATTCATTCATTCAGGCTTTATATAATCCTACTGTACATGTAGTCTTCATTTTACAGCAGGGCCCGGATACAGTATACTATTTGGTTCAGTTTAATATATTGACCAGGGGTTTAATCAGACCAAGAACCTTTAATACCTTTCCGTTATTCCACATGTATCTGTTGCATGCTATAGATAGTTCTTCCATACAGATTTCGCTTTGATTTCATTTGCTTATTGGTACCTGCTGTTCGGTGAAATGCTGGTCTTTAAACAACCAGCTGTGGCTTTCGACATTCTTTACTCCTTTCATTAGTTTCGTAACCGATACAAAGTGCCAAAGATTATTTTATTAATATATTCTCCAGTACGATCTCATATGATAAAAGCCGTTATCTAGAATTTGTCTGGATACTCTTTCAGCCCCACGCTAGAACTGCAGGAACAGTGTGGTGTCCGGCCATCTGGTTTCCAACTACACATGCTACAAATGACAAAATGCTTGAAAGTTGCCGGGATATAATCTTTATGAAAGATGTTCCGCCGTGTGACGTTAAATAAAAAAAATATTTTTTAGGTAAAAAATATTAAGGCAATGGCGCAACGGAATGATGCTTTCAGACCTCAATTACATACTCCTAACATTTTTCCTGTAACGTTTCAAGACTTCGTACTTACCAGCTCGACAGCTTTCCTGAACTGCCACTCACCCCAACCCCTCCAATAGGGCGCCACATGCTGTTCTGACTCCTCCTCTGTGGATTAGTGAAGTTTCTTTAGTTTCTCCAGCAGGGACATCACGCAGTTTAGCTTGATCAGAGTACACAGATAAAAGCACCTCGGTCACACAATGTTTGTAAGGAATCCCAGTGTGTATCTGACCCTGTTATTGTGGATTATAGTCTCATGGAACTGGGATAGCGTCGCTGCAAGGAAGCAGGACGAGTCCTTCTTCACTGCCAGTATTTACAGAGCAAGATGCACATCGAGATGTCTCAGCCTGCACCTCACTCGCATCTCTGCTTTTTTCAAACATTTCCAGGTAGATCACGTTTCATTAATCTTTAATGAATGCATGGTGGATACATAGTGAAATGTGATTGTTACATGTGTTATTATTCTCAGCATATTAAGTTGCCAAGTAGCTGTTCTTGCTGAGCGCGCATCAGCAGTCCCTGACGCTTGTCCGAAGGCTCGCGTTTAATTGTTGCTCTTGTTCATTATCATTCACTGAGAGCGATAAGCATCGGAGCTGAAACGTCAATGTCTGAGTTCCAAAATTCAGAAGCCCTTTATCGAACTAAGAGTGGCGAATGAGTTGTTCGACTTCTGAAGTTCCAAGACTTTAACTAAAGTTTACCGAGAGGGATCAGTGTTAATGAAGAGTTTTGGAAAGAGCTTGAATTAATGCTGTAGAAACTGAGGACTGAATCCTGCATATGCAGCAGAGTTACTGGTCCTGGCACTGCTTCTTAAGGATGCGCTTTGTGATTATCGGGGTATTCGCTATTTCCGTGAAGACTTAGCTGGTGAGTCGTAATAATTAAGTTACATGAAAGAGAATACTAATGACTGGACGCCCCTTTTTACTTTTGTTTATTAATTGTAATCTAATGCGTTTTACCTTTTAGCGCATACTATTTGAAGGCATTTTATTTAAACAACTGTTGACTTTAGACACTTTTCTAAAACAGAATGTATAAAATGCAAGACTAAAGTGATATTTAGCTGTAAATTAAAAAAAAAATCCAATTGAACTGTGAATTAATAGAGTTGAAGAAATGCGCTACCGGGATTTGTCCGTCTGTAGCGGTTTTTGAGTTACTGACTCGTTAACTTCATCTCGATAAATGGCTTAATAGTAGCTTGTCCGCATGTGCTACTTTGACGCCGAGGATAAATAACTGAATAAAAAAATAAATGCGATTTCAAGATTGCTTTTAACGTGAAATCTTTTATTTATAACAATCGCCTACAGAAAAACTCCCCTGCAACCTTTTCTTCAAGGTTTGAAGGGTAGTAATATTTGTAACTCAATTTTAATGTACTGTAGCAAGTATGTATAAGTAGTTTAGGCATTTTTATTGTTACACCTAGATGAACATGGTTTTATTACAGTGCTATTTAGTGAGATGCATTAATGTGGTTATTTTTTAAATATGTCTATATCCTTTAAAAGAAACCAGTTTAAAAGTTTTAAAAAAGTGATTAACAGGTGATGTTATACGGTGTCTTTTTCATTTCCATCATAAACTAATTTGCAGGCTTGAGCAGCGCCTGACTGCGTTTGTTCGCTGCCTCCTGCGGTTTGAGGCAAAATTATGGGGTCCACAGCATCTATTATTCTTAATTGTTGCACGCAACTAGTTTTTAACATTTTAATGACTAAAACCATAAATGATCCCACTTCTGCTTATTTTTAAAGCAGTCATCCTCCATTTTCATCTCACAAACGTTTTTGTACTGGAAATTCAATGGCTATGGGTACTGGAATTCAACACCTGGTCTATTTTTTTTTTCCACGGAGAATGGCAAAGCCTACTATAGTATCGGGCACCGTGGATGTTTTTTTTTTATTCTAAAGCACTCGGGGTGCGGTGTAGTGTCTCGAGCAGATTATTTGAGAAGGAATAGTTTTTAATCCTTTCTGGGTTGAGTACGTATGTTGTGTCAGAAGATGTTTTGCACCCTTCAGTGGACACAGTGTTCCCTCTCGGGAATTCAGCGAGAAGGATTTGTAGGAGACTTTTAGCGCTTTATTGAATGATCTGTATATGGTATACAGGCTTTCTTAAAAAAAAAAAAGATGATGTAGGAGTTTAGTAAAAAATATTCTGTTTAACTAAAAAATAAAATTTAGACACTTCTCCACGTGTTCATATTAGTCATATTAGTTAATTTAAAATTGTAATCAGGTATGACAGTGACTGATGTTTGTTTGAAATAGCTGTTTTGTTTAGTGAAATTGAAAACCAGAGTAAAAGTTGATAAAGAACATTGCAGAGATATGAAGAGAACTTCACAGAGCAATTAATTGCAAAAGGCAAAAAAGTAATTCAGTTGAATTGTGATAGCAGCCAGTGGAAAGCAAATGGTTAAACTGGAATCCATATTAATTTCCTGTCCCTCTGGATACGTTTTAGTGCTCATTTATTTAACAATTCAGCTATAGACTCTTCAATTCTGATACACTGAAAGTGTGGAAGACTGCTCCCACGCTGTCTGCTTAACTAATTGCCTTTGGTCATGTGGCCTTAGGCTCACAGCAAGTCTTGTCATTACCTTGATCGCCTTTAATATTCAATTCCCAACAAAAGCTGAATTCTAAATAAAAAGCTAAACCATATAAGAATACTCAAATGCAGTAACTTTTTTACTTGCAGAAATTGACAAGCCTTGTCGTATAAGGCTATTTATAACATTATCCAGAAAACGTTCTTGAATCTGGCCAAACACACTGGTTCTGCCAGGAATAGGAACAGTGGTTACAGGTGACACACTCTGAGTCTTGCCGAAGCATTCTGGACATAGAAGGAGAGGGCAGCTGCAAAAACAAACCCATCGTCTTTGGTGACCAAATGGTACAAGGTCACACCTCTCCAAAGCACTCAATTCCATACACCATTTCCATTTCCTCTGTTAATGCAATCTTGTATACTACACCTCATTAGTAAATTTACAACAGAGTGATCTGCCAGGTAGGGTTTTATTCTAACAAAGTAACTGACACCTGGGTATGTGCGCAATTTAAAAGAATGCATAGATCAAACATTTGTCGACAAGAAAGCTGAAAAGATTTGCTTTTACCTGTGGATTTTGAATTAATAACCCAGAGATGACTGTTTACAGAGTTTACTTTGACAGGATCAACAAAAAAAGTCTAGCTGCCAACATAGAAACAAAGGATTCAGACTTGGAATCTTTTAAGTCATTCCTGATGTCTAAACAAGTCATAATTTTTCATCATTCTCTTTTTTTAACTTCATTGAAAAGGACCCTGAAAATGTTATTTTGGCTTCATTACATTTCAATACAATTGCTCATTTTGGCAAAATCTTCACAGGGATCGAGATTACTTTAGCCTTAATTGGACATCTTTTTATTTGCTTACAGTATTTTCTTTCAGTAATTTTGTCTTTTGAAAAGCAATTCTAAATGAAATGTTTTGTTTTTTCATTATGATTAATATATAACTAAAAACCTATTACAAGTTATACATCTGATGTAATGTGAAATTAGAATATATTGCTAAATGAAATATATTCCCTGAAACTTAAAAAAAAAACAAATAAAAATGACCCATTTTATCCTGAAATAACCTAAACCCTTAGGCAAAACTGAATTTTGGATTTCAAAAGACAGCAGATTAATGGATGTCTTTCAAAACAACTTAAGGTCTACATGTTTTTATTTTAATAAAAGTTTAGTGGTCTACAAAATTCACAGTGATAAAACCTTTTTAATATGGTCAGTTGTACTGAAGACATCTGGAAATCAGATTCTTTATGGAATTTCTGATTGTGTAACTTGCACATCAAATAGAAATCATGTTTCCTGGTAAGGTGTGGAGGTGGCTGTGTGAGTGCAAAACATATGGTTTTCTTTTTTGACAGTTTCAAATAAATCCACCGTCTATATTGTGCTATTTTGACAGCTAGGAAGCATAGTGTGGATTTGCATGGAGAAATTGCTGGTCTTTGAGCACACTGTTAAGGTATGCAGTACTGACTGGATAACTGATACCTTGCTGCTGATTGGGTACCTACAGTAGGCTTCCAGCAGAGTCACTTCAATGCTCAACACAATGTCGTGGGTTGGAGCTACATTAGTTCATTTTCTTTCTCACACTGTTGCTTGTGAAACTGTAACGGCTGGGATAGACGCAAAGGCAATCAAAAGTGGTAATAAAAAAGGCAACTTCAGATTGTTATGATCTGGAAATAATGATGTCTGCGTACTGTATGTATGTTCAACATACAAGTGTACCCATCAGTGTGCATCTCTCAGTCCAACACAATGTTGAGAGAAATTTATTAACCTTAAATTAAACCCCCAAAAAGGTTTACAAAAATCCTTAATCTAGTTCCTACATTATGTGTCTATACTGTAGATTCTTCTCTTCAAAACAGAGTGTTTGTTCATTATATTATCTTTTACATGGGGTAAAGCTATTTTGTCTGAATTTTGTTTTAAGTAGGAAGACATAAAGACAAAAAACATTAAGTGACATTTGAAATGACAGGATTATCTGCCTGAAGGTTTATCACAGGTAACATACAGTATTTTCCTTTTAAACATTGTTTTACCTGTGAAGCAAATGAGATCAGGTTTTGTGTTTGTGTGCTTTGAAAAACATTTCTAGAAACATTTCCATCTACATTATTTTATGACTTTGGAGCTTTTCCTGAAAAAATAGTTAAAATCTAAAACATTTTATTTCACTCACTTATGGAAATGTACCATTAGTCATATTCCAAGAAGGGACACATACAATTCCCCGCAGTAGATATTGGGGCCACTACAACAGCTAAATGCTTCAAGTAAAAAGAAGTACTGTTCACAAATCTCACCAGAAAACATTAGTTTTATATGGATATATTTATATGTTGGAAGGTGTAGCTAAAAATAATCAATGCACTCTTGTTATTTTATTTGCGCTCATAAAAATGTTACAGTTTCTGTGTTATTGGAATAAATAACTTTCTTTTAAGAAAGGTGTTCTTTACCATGGAAAGAAAAACATTTGAAAGCAGTTGTGCTGTATTTCCTTGCTTCACTCCTTTATGTGTTTTTGATATAAAATAACTTGCAATGGAATCTCACAGTGACCACCACAAGGCTTATGTGTAGACTTTTCATTAGTTAAGATACCAGATGAATAGAGGATTATTTTGCATGGTTTCACCTCACAGTAAATGGATTTAAACCATGACAGACTTTGTCAATAAATCAAGTCTTCTGTACGTAACAGCTAAACATTTCCTTGCTTAACAAGTGGCATTGACAAATGTTTTCAGGCATCCCTCTATGTAGTGACGTGTCTTTTAATAGAATGTTTTCATTAAACAGTTGGTACTGTATGGTTAGCCTATAAAGCACAGAGCACTCTGTTTAATTTTGTTTAATTTTATTATAGAACTTCTACACAATGGAACAGTACCTAGAAAATGAAATAAACTAGAAAATGAAATTACCACACAGATTTATACCTGCACTTACACTACACTACAATTTCAAAGCAAAACCAAATAAGAAAATGAATGCAATAACTGCTAACAAGTAGCTCTTTGTCATGATATGACAAGTTCAGAGTTATTAGTTGGTTTTGATATTTTGATATTTAATTTCTCGGTTTCACATATTTGGTCTTTGATGGCAACATATCGTTTCAACTATGTGTACAGCTCTATACGAGTATTTACAGATGACAGCAGGAGGATAAATATTTGGCTCCAGGAATGACATAGTGGCAGACAAGTTTTAAAGGGCAAAAAAGTTTGTGTCTCTGCTCCTATTACCCTCTCTGCTGAATACATTTGTAGAGGTGAAGCAAGGTCTAGAAAACATAAGCACCTGAAAGGCTTAGCCGTTCACCAATGTATTACAGAAGAACATAATTCTACACATAAGTGTAGGGATGGATCAGGATATTTTAGACTTGTACACACAAGTACACTAAAATCCATTGTATGACACTGGACAGCAGAAACTCTTTGACACTGGGTTTTATGTCAGTCTTTTATAAAATTGTTAAATATAAAAAATAATTTTAAAAAATCCTACATACAGGAACCACCACCAAAAATCTCCTTTCTCCGCCGTGTGTTTGTAAGAAATAAATTTTCTGCTAAAATAAACTTCTCAAGTTCTTTGCTTCCAGAAAGCTAGCAGGCTGTGCGTCAGGACTACAGTATGAGTATGTTTCTAAAATATCTAACTTTACCCATGTTTTAAGTGCATGTTTTACACATGCTTTGATAATTGTAAACATCCTGGACCACCTGCTACATGTTCTCAGTTGACAGTGGTTTTGGCAGTTTAATTTGATTTTAAATTCTTCCTCTACTTTGTTGTGCATTTTAATGACCACATCTTTGACAGCACATTTGGCTATAGAAAGCTGAGAATTGCTGTGTTGAAAGGAATGTCATGCCATGAAGTACTGTCAATATAATAGTAACACAAACTAATGTGACCAATACTGAATGAAGCAGAACTCATGAAGGCTTGTGTGATTAGTTGGGCGGAAGTTGAATGAAGCATACTTTAAACTCGGTTTCATTTTTGCTCTTTTGTAATATGATGAAGTTTGTCTGGAATGTGGTCATGACTTTAGGGATCAGGACCTGACCTATAATTATCTTCTATTGCTGAATGACACTGTAGGGTCAGCTCTGAACAGCTGGTATAACATCTCATGCAGTCCTCCTGTTCCTCTGTTCCTGTAATAGATCAAAATTAGCCATCACACAACAGCTAAGCGTTGCCGTCATCCCACACAGAGCAGTAGCAATCTTGTGATAAATTTTTATGATGTCTTGCGCATGATGAAATCGGTAGTTCTTCCATAACTAGTAGATCTACTTGACATGCAAAAATAGAAGCTTCCTGAGACATGAGTTCAGACATTTAAAACTGAGAATCATGTTTTTTTTGTAAATGTGTACAGTTTCATAAACTGTTCTGTTCTACCATAGTCTTGATTTTTCAACAGTTGTGTTCAGATAGCTGGGGAATATATATGTCTGCAAAAAACAAAATGTAAAGAAGGAAGTGAGTAGCCCTGGTATTGCATCTTAAGGCACTGCTTGTTGTTTAAAACCATAATCCTCTTGACAGCAAGAACGTATTAGAGATTTGGACGGATGGCTGTGTGTTTGGGAGGAGGTTTTTTATTCGTCTTTGTAATAATGTGGCAGTGCTTTATGAAACATTGTCTTCGGTAAGGTCTTTATTTAGACTAATGAAAAGGTGGAAATTTGCATCTCATCTAGTTTAAAAAATAAAATACAGTTACAATGGGAAAATAACTTCAGCCTTTCAAGATGAAAACCCAAGTTTAAATATTTCGATTTCTGTTCTGTTCAGCCTTCAGTACATTTTCTTTTACCCTAAATGTCTTTGAAGATTAGTGAACATTATCCTTAGCACCAATTATGCAACACATTATGATACAGGATTGAAAATAAGCCGTTTAAGGATGAATTCCTGCTTGAAGTTTCACTAAGACTTTGCATTGGGTTATTATGTGTGAAAATTCTTTGAACTTGACATGAAACTGTGAAACCCACACAGACACCTTATGCCACCAGTCCCAGAGAGATCTTCAAAGTTCTGAAGTGGCTATTTAGCTAGAAAGTCCAAGGCACAAATATGTTACATCCACTTTGCCATTCATTTTTAGATGAGCTGCCCAACTAAAAAAATGTATTGGTCAGGGAAGGCAAAGTACTTGGTCCCTCTGCCAGCACTGTTGTAAAAACAGCAGGTGAAAAATGTATTTAGTTTCACTGAGAATAGCTTTGTTGGAAAATAAATGATCCCAGTGGGAAAATGATCACCACATCTTCTTCTACCACACTATTTCCTTTACCGTGAAGTAGGTTTTGTTCCTTCAGGGAGTTTCTGGTGTGCACATACACTAACTGCACTCAGAATAGGCAAATCAGAATGCACTGCAGATCAGAATATGCAAAAACAATGTCTGAGCATGCAACAAGCTGAAGCAGTTCTCCAAGAGACTTCATGTTCAGATGTTCTGTCCAGAACCTCTTGACTTGCAGCCATTAAATATTCTAGGATCTGCTTTCTTATTTTTTAATCTGCTTCATACAGCCTAGTTTCTAGTTTCATACAGCCAGTTGTTTTTGGACTCAGCTCTCACTACACTATGATTCTTATACCAATTTAGGACAGCATGTGACACACAGACATGCCCACTTGTACGGATTCTACACGCTACAAGCTCAGTAGTTAGCATAGCGTTGGGCACTGGGTTCAATTCCAGACTTGGGGTGCTATCTGTATGGAGTTTGTATGTTCTCCATGTGTTACTGTGGTTTCGACCAGGTGCTCTGGTTTCCTCCCACAGTCCAAAGACAAACTGGTAGGTTAAATGGCTTCTGAGAAAAGTGATCCTGGTGTGAGTGTGTGCATGTCTATGTGTGTATCCTTCTATGGATCTTGTCATGTGCCTGTTACTTGCCGGGGTAGGCTCAGGCTCCCCTGTATTGGATGAAGTGGTTAGAAAATGGATGAATAAAGTACCCCAGTGTGAAAATAAATAGCTGGTAAACTTTGTAGTTAGTTGTGGAAAACATTACAGTATAATAAAATGCATCTTTTGTAACCAATCACCTGTTCATTAATTTTGGAATTATTAACTATGTGTAATAGCACTTTAAGGAGGTTATTACTTGATTTACCTGTCAAACTAGAATTGATGGGTTCATGTCAGTTCGTGGGAAACAGTGAAAACAGGCCAAATACCCCATATAAAAATTTACACAATCAGTTTTTATTCATCAGACCTTTGATCATGGTAAACATTGCATTCAAAGTCACTGCAGGAAAAGTCACAATAAATTAACTAGGAACAGAATGAAGAAGAATTAAGACTACATTGAGCAAGGATATTAGGATTTCATGTCTTGTAGTACAAATAATATTCCCAAAGAATACTGTTTAATGTCCAAAGAATGAATTAAAATTATGGCACTGAAGAACTCCAAATAACATGTATAGTCTACACCAGATTCTGAACAAATTAAGTAAATCTAGGTCATTAACTTGTTAATAATACATACACAATACAAGTGAAGCCAGTGAAATCCTTTTATGATGTTCTAAAATCTTGTCAGAACCTGTAGGAAGTTTGAATTAAAGTACAGCTTGTTGCATAACTTTGTCCTTTTCAGTCAAGTTTCCTAGGGACATAACTTTCAAAGGAATGTTTTTTTTGTAAAAGTAAACTCAGAAGCAATGGCTTTAAAATAACCTAACTGAAGATGTTTGGTATGTGATACGGTATTTATACTTTGCACTAAACACCAATATCAGGATAACCTCTAATTTATTCTTCAATTTCTTTCTTTTCAGAATAATGGATCCTTGGTTTGGTGTCAGAATCATAAACAGTGCTCCAAGGTAATGTAAAATGAACCAAAAATAACATCATATCCCCATCGCTTGTTGTTTTAAATGTATTGTAATGTTTTGTTACTGAGACAAGAAACAATTTTGTGTGATAGTGACAATATTTTTTTCTAAAGAGAAATATTGGCTTAAACTGTCAGAGTTTTGCATTTTAAAATTCATTTTGATGGTATGATAAAATCTTAATTTGGCAGTCCTGCTTAATAAGGTTTCATATGGCAAGTGCATAACACCAGCATCAATTATGCAGCACTCTACAAAATGAATTGAAAAAATAAAAAGTTTAAAGATAAATTACTACTTGAGGTTTTTCTGAGAATGGATTTTTTACTTAGCATTGTGGGGAGTATTCAAAATTCATTGAATAATGTGCATAATGCTACGTATTTTGTTTATTAATGGAATGATGTCTCTGGCTTAAATACAAGACAAAATACAAACACCTGAGAAACATTATTCAAATGATTAAAATTATATATATATGTAAGATGTCATGTCATATTACATATGACAGGGCCCGTACTTCTTTGCACCTCATTAAATTCAGTTACATCTTCATTAGTTTTCTTTAAATTTCATTCTAATATGATTTACGTCTTCCAGCATTGGCTTTAAGACTTTTTTCAAGGGATATGTATTTTGAAATAACAATTATTATTTTTAATCTTGATTAATTGGATGTTCTCTTAGGCAACACATTGGCACAGTAGTTAGCAATGCTGCCTTGACGTGCTGGAACCCTGGGATCAATTCCTGGGGCACTGTCTGCTTGGAGTTTGTATGTTCCCCCTGTATTTGTGTGGGTTTCTTCTGGGTGCTCCAGTTTACTCCCACAGTCCAAAAACATACTGGTAGGTTAATTGGCTTCTGGGAGAACTGGCCCTGGTGTGAGAATGTTTGTGTCTGACTGCCCTGTGATGGACTGGTGTCCTGTCCAGGGTGTATCCCACCTTTTGCCTATTGCTTGCTGGGATAGGGTTCGGCTCTCTATTGGATGAAGCACTTAGAAAATGGATGGGTCCATGGTCTTGTCTTAAATTGTTTGTCATATTGCAAACTGCTTACTTCAAATACTTATGAATGAAAGAGGAAGCACACCCACTTGAAGGTTCGCAGTCCAAAAAGCTTTTATGTTCAGCTTGTGTTTCTCGGACACAAAGTTCCACATCATTTGATGGGTGTTGTCTAATTCAGTACAAAAGACAATTGTTTTCTTTCTATGGATCTTTACATGTTATTATAATCTTTTAATATTTGAGGTAGGATGCATTGAATTAGTATGTGGTGTATTCTTATTCAAATTCACGTCCTATTTATGCACATGTTCACTGTGTCCTCCTGTATTTTCATCATTCAGCTTACAATTTGGTTCTAAGAGGCTTGTGTAGGAAAATAATCTAAGTACAACACACATTTGCATGCGGTACAGCCATTTGCTCATTTAAATTCCTCAGTGTTGTCGCCCCTGTGATTCGGCAGAGTCTTCATAGCCTTTCATCTGGTTTATGGTCGGGGTCTGTTTGAGACAGGTGATGACACATCTCCCAATTTCTTTCTTAGCCGTTGACAGTTCCTTTACATAGGCCTTCCTTTGGCACTGCAAACAAAATAAGGTCTTCACGAGGTGAGATTTGGGATGTAAAGCAGATGGGGCAGAATTTTCCAGAAAACAGATGACCACTGCTCTAGATGCACAGTCATAAGTACAATTTGCTGAAATCCATAGGACATTGTCTGTCCCCTCAGACAGTGACCCTGTCAGTAGCATCATACTTTTTCAATATAATCCTAGTAATTTACATAGATTATAGGAGCAGTTCTGCTTTTTAAAAGTCAAAGCTGGGAAAACAAATAGCACTGAAACAGTGCTTAGGTTGTGAGTTTTACCGATATGCTCTGCCTTTCCATTGTACTTCCTTTCGGCATTTCGACTTTCCAAATAGGTACCAGTAACAGATCGATTTTTGAAGTAATGACAAGCGGAAATTCTCCTCTCTTCCATTCACATCCTTGCTGGCAAGGCAAGAGCATTCCAAAGAAAGGGAATAGAAAAATATATACCAGTAATAAACCCACAGAAATGTATGAGTAACAGATCCACACCTCAGATTTATTTTACTTGATGTTGTAGGGCAAGTGATATTAAACACATATGCCTTATGCCAAAGTTCAAAGTCTGCTAATTTTAATGAGATTTTATTTAGATTATGATGCTATATCTAAATACTACAGCTTTAGTGTTGAAATGCATTCAGCCGACATTCAGGACTTTTGTCCATTCATGGTTACAAAAACAAATAATTAATAAGTGAAGTATCTGTGCCTAATTTCTTCTGCTGACAAAAGTATAGTTCATTGCAAAACTACGGTGGTCTTGAGAAAAACTTTAGTAAAGTGTCATTTATTAAACAAATCTTTAATAAAATGTCACCAAAGTGAAACACAAATGATTAATCTTGTGCGATATACTCTGAATTTTTAAAAGTGTAGTTTGAAAATTGTTGTTAGGCTCAACACAAGGTTTAAATATGTATGTCTTTGTGCAAAAAGGTGAATTGGTATTCCATCAGTGAGACTAATGTCTCTGCAGTATTTAATTTCTGTTCATGAAATCATTTTAAGTGGTTAAAGTATCCAAAAGCAAATTAGAGACTTAGGCAGATGTTTGCAAATTGGCTCTTTCTTATTACTCCCAGGAGATTCCTTTTTGTCCTTTGACCTGAAGAGAGTAAAGGTCAATTCCCTTTTCCATCTCACCTCCTCAAATTGGCTTCTGTCATGCTGTCTAAGTGCACACACTGTTAATTGGGAAGCATGCAAGGTAGACATAAATCAGTTTGTTTTAAGCAGAGATGCTTCAACAAAGACACTAATATTAAAAAAAACCATCATGCCTCATTTGAGTCAATAACAAAGGTCAAAGTGAAATCGCTATTGTATATCCATTACACAATCACTGGCTACATAAAGTATAATATCATGATGAAATGAACTTCGTTTATTGAAATTGAAACCATAGTTTCTAAAAAAAGTCTTTTCCGATGAAAACTTGTTCAGGGTTATGTGTATTTCATCTCATCATATTGTCCACATGATTAACTGTGAAGACATATTGCCTGCTAATGCTCTAAATGTTCTAAAATAAACTTTCTCTGGGTCCAAAGAAACCAGTGAACAAAGAGGAACAGTGATACTGAGCTGTTCTTTTTTTTCTGCAGTGGTCCACTGGTCTATGTAAAAGGATTTGTTGGGCATTGAAGTTCACAAGTATGATGGTGAACTGTTCCCATGTCAGGTTCACTTATCAGATATCATTCTTACTGACTTTATTCCTTTAACTGGTCTGAAAGGCACAAGTTGTTTTCTTTTACTATACTTAAGATTTGTGCAGAGAAATAAATCTGCTTTGAAGACACATTTCTTTTGTCCACATATATAAATAATTGTGAGGAGGCTTTTTGTTCTGTAAGGTTAGACAATATTTGTATTTAACATTTGTTTTTGTTAGAATCATTCATCATAATGCTTTAGTATATGAAAAGGCATTCAGTATTAACATGCCCTAGCACAGCAAACTGCTTTCGTAAGTATGTTAGACTTTTGCAGGACTATAAAAATGCCTCCGATTTTCAATGGATCTCAGATTTTACAAGCAGTGACAAGTAAGCAGTCGAACTTGGGTGTATATGTGCATTTTAAGAATACATTTTCTGGCAGAGAATTCATTTATTTTTCTTATCATTGAGGGGTTATGTTTTGTTCTAGAAAATGAACATTTTATAACACAAAATATGTAACATTAAAATGACTGCCAAAATAGAATTCATATATTAAATAAATTGTTGCAAATATACTGTTCTTCTTGTATCCTTTGACAACATTTTAAAGACAATCTTTAAAATGTTGTCAAATCTTTAAAATCTTTATAAATTACAACATTTATAGATTGTGCAGTTACACAGGATTTTCATCTTCACACTTGTTTAGACAATGCCCTAGCCAGATTGCAGAAAAGCACAAGAGCTAGAACTTTATTGTTTTTTTATAAATGTTTTATTTTAATACCACAAGATGAGTTTCCTTCATTGTAAAACATTTATTTGCAGTGTTGTTTTTATTGACTAAATTAGCACTTCACATTCAAACTTCAGATTCTCTTTCACTTCTAAGTGCTGCAAGACTGAACCTTCTACATAATATCTACACCTTTCACTGCTCATTTTCCATGCCTTAAAGATCATTCAGTCAATTTTAGATAGAATAAGATAAGTATTTCTCAATTGTTAACCTCTGTTGGAAAGGAGAGAAAATCCTCTCTGCTGGGCTTACAATGCTTAGAAGAGAACTCTTTTTCATATAATTAACTAGTGTTTACAGTGGAACTCAATGAAAAGTGTTTTGTAAAGCTTAAGGTAGCTCTTTGACAAAAGTGACAGCAGTCATCTCTATTTAAGCTTCTTTTCATTATGAGTCTTCAGCTGTACAAAGCTGGATTGTAAATTGTTCTTCAGGCAATGATTAGGCTCCTTATTTGAAGAGCTGGAGAGTGTAAAAGTTACATTATACAAGTTGACAAAAGTAGAAGTCAAAGAAAGCTTCCATTTCCTACTCATACATGACTGCTGATGGGGTAGATCTATCCTGTCCTGCTCTTTGAGCATTGTTAAGAACTCCCAGTAGGGTCTTTCTGGAGATAATGGTGGTGGAAAGATTAGTTAATGATTTAAACAAAGATTTTCTGCACCCGTCCATCTGTCAGCACTTGTGGAAATCAAAGCTCCCAGCTATAATTTGTGACTTCAGCAATCTATCCCATCCTAAACACAGTGTCCAGAGCAAGCTCTGCTCACAGCGAGAGCATTGTCATGATAATTAACCTTGGTGCCCTCATGCTGGGCCTTAAAAAGACGGGCATCATGGAGCATTTGGTGAATCATTAGCATGCAATAACAGGGGAATTCCTATCCTCTTTGAGAAGAAATAGCGAGAGT